ATAAAACATTAAAATCTCTATAACAATATATATCGGTAATATAATTCATATGTGTATTTAGATTAGAATATCTTATAAGAATAATTTATATTAGTAAGAATTATCTTGATTATTTTATATTGCTGAATCATAATGTTATAAAGCTTCTTCTAGTCTGTTTATTTTATCTAATGTACAAGCTAAAATCTCATCCATTTTGAATAATACCTTTATTAGTATAATAACTTAAATCTTCTGGATTTTTTTATATTGCTGAATCATAATTTTCCAAAGCTTCTTCAAATCTGTTCATTTTATCTAAAAATTGATGATTTCATCTCACTAAATTAATCGCTTTAATGCTCTATGTCATCTCCAACTATACTATCAGAATGAATGAGGTCGTCTTATCCAGACAGGTGTCCTTTATTTGTAGGAGATGGATGATCAAGCTCTTTTTAGCTTATAATTATAGAATTTTATTAAGTTCATTTCATTTTTTATTTAGTCCCCTCGTAATTAAATACTCAAAGTATAAGTAAATTATTGTAAATCAGATATTTATTCTATTCCTGAGAACTTTTACTACCAAAATTTTTCATCAGAATATTGTTCAATACCATCTACTTCAACATTTTTCGACAAAGTCTTCTTACATTATGTTAACTAAAACGTAATGTTTAAATATCTTTAGTAAAGTTCTTTTTTTTTAAGTCTAAATGTATTCTTCTTCCCAATTTTTTAAATTATCAAGTAATTTTTAACTTAAAGTACGCTATATTACTGTATTGAATACTTCCACTTCCCCAACTTAAATCTTCACCATTGACTCATCATACGTAAATATTCTCTGCAATTGGTGATTACAATTAATTTATTAGCCTGTTTGTTTATCATTTGTGTTTGGTGGAGTCATCAATATCGTTTACATAAATCTAAAAAAGGAAAAGTCTAAATTTAGGCTAGACAATTTAACAATATTTGAACTTAAATTGCATTTGCTACATTAAGTATAAGTTTCTATTCTTATCTTCTTTTTTTCTCCCTTTTAATTTGAATGGGATTATTAAACAATTTTAGTAATATCTTTTGCAGTGTATACATTATCTCTTTATTCATCTTCATTTGACAACTAAGAAAATTATTAGGAAACTTAATTCGATAATTAAGGAGGTTCATTAGTCGATATGACTCTTCCACTTCTATTTTTTTAATCAGCACTTATTTTAATATATTTATCTCCACAATAATAAAATGAAACATGAGCTATTTTAGGTAGGTGACAGTATTCGCATCTATTATCCTTATTAGCTATTTTCAGGATAATAAATTAGCCTAAACAAACATCTTCCCCATGATAATACACAGACTTTTTCTCCTATGGCTTATTACACATCCGAGCCATTGAAAACTCCTCTAATTTATCTCTTTAAGATGGATGCTTTGATTTATATTCTTCTAAACTAGAAAAGTCTTTAATGTCGTTAAAATTATTAACATCAGCAATAACATAATTGATCTTAATATATTTTAATTCTATATTGAATAATTCTTTTAAAGGAATCTTCTCAAATAAAAATGTTGTGAAATTACCTTAATTCGATATGGTTTTTAATAAGTTGTTTTTAAACATTGAACACTCAGTAGTGATAAAGTGAGATTCCAAATCTTAATGTTTACCAAGTCTAGCACATCCGATAAAACATTGTTTTAGTTTTGATAACAATTCTTCTGAAGGGCCACTTATTGCAATTGTAGCAAATTTTTAACATGACGAATTTTTCAAGAAACATAAGGTTGAATCCTTTTATATTTCCCCTTTTTCAGAATTAACTTTTGGAAACTGTTTAAAAAAAACCTTCTCACATGTACCAACTATTTATTCCTTTCTTTCAATGCATTATTTTAATATAGACAGGCTTATAAATTTAGCATTTGTACACAATTTAACTCTTTAAAGTACTTTCTTTTTAACATTTGTCAAAACAGTTATTTTTTTCTTGAGACACTCATCCAATGCAATTTTGTTAGCTCCCTTTTCAACTAAAATCAAATTTGGTTCATAATTTTTATAAATTGAATTAATCGAATCAACTAATAGCTTTTTTTCATTTTAAATATAATCTTCTAATTGATTTTATGAACCATCCATGTCAAAATCCCCAATAATTATAATGATGGATGGTTTATTAATTTCAGATTACATTTATT